GCCCCCATCAAGAGTGATGTTCCAACTCCTTCATGGCAGGCCTTGGCTGGGGGTGCCTGGAGGTCCCTGCCTCGTAGGGCCAGGGGTAGGAGGACATCCAGTGAAAGGGGTCACTCAGAACACCTGAGGCAGTTTGGGCTATTACAGTTTTTGTTACTGTTTTTTGTTTTGAGATGCAGTCTGGCCCTGTCACCGGGCTGGAGTGCAGTGGTGCAATCTCTGCTCACTACAACCTCCGCCTCCCAGGTTCAAGCCATTCTCCTTCCTCAACCTCCTGAGTAGCTGGGACTTCAGGCACGTGCTGCCATGCCCAGCTAATTTTTGTATTTTTAGTAAGATGGGGTTTCACCGTGTTGGCCAGGATACTCTCCTAATCCACCCACCTTGGCCTCCCAAAGTGCTAGGATTACAGGCATGAGCCACCGTGCCCAGCGCAGTTTTTTTTTTTTTTAAACAATTGACCAAATATGAGCCTTTAGTCTTCCTGGTGCTTAGCCTGTGCCCAGGTATCAATGTACAGGACCCACTTCCCTTAAATAGAGCCCCCTACGGCCAGTATATATGCATAACACTCCATTTCCTTCTAACCTGTGTGCATCCACTGGCTTGGGTCATAGCTTAGCACTGCTGCCTAAATGTTGTGCATGGAAAGAAAGAGCCATCCTGTAAGCCCTTCCAGGACCATCCCCTCCACACTGAAATAATAGCAAGGAAGGGGAGACAATGGTGATGTAGACATTTTTCACACAACTTTAAAATTAGTACAAAACTGTTATTATACTCAGTGTAAACAATTGGGCTCTACAATTGGGTTTTCAAAGGTCATAATAACTACCCTAATAATGGCTTCCAGTTCCATTCATGTCCTGAAAAGGACATGATCTCGTTTCCTTTTTATGGCTGCATAGTATTCCATGGTGTATATGTACCACGTTTTCTTTATTCAGTCTATCATTGTTGGGCATATGGGTTGATTCCATGTTTTTGCTATTGTGAATAGTGCTGCAGTGAACATATGCGTGTACGTATCTTTGTAACAGAATGATTTATATTCCTTTGGATATATACCTAGAAATGGGATTGCTGGGTCAAATGGTATTTCTGGTTCTAGGTCTTTGAGGAATCGCCACATTGTCTTCCATAATGGTCGAACCTTCCCACCAACAGTGTAAAAGGATTCCCATTTCTCCACAGCCTCACCAGCATCTGTTTGTTTTTTTGACTTTTTAATAATTGCTGTTCTGTCTATCATGAGATGGTATCTCATTGTGGTTTTGATTTGCATCTCTCTAATGATTAGTGATGATGCACTTTTTTCATGTTTGTTGGCTGCATAAATGTATTCTTTTGAGAAGTGTCTGTTCATGTCTTTTGCCCACTTTTTAATAGTTTTTTTTTTCTTATGAATCTGTTTAAGTTTTTTGTAGATTCTGGATATTAGACCTTTGTCAGATGGATAGATTGCAAAAATTTTCTTCCATTCTGTAGATTGTCTGTTCACCCTGATGATAGTTTCTTCTGCTTCTTCAAAAGCTCTTTAGTTTACTTAGATCCTATTTGACAATTTTTGTTTTTGTTGCAATTGCTTTTGACATTTTTGTCATGCAATCTTAGCTTGTGCCTATGTCGTGAATGATATCACCTAGATTTTCTTCTAGAATTTTTATAGTTTGGTGTTTTACATTTAAGTCTTTAATCCATCTTATATAAGGTGTAAGGAAGGGGTCCAGTTTCAATTTTCTGCATATGGCTAGCCAGTTCTCCCAGCACCATTTATTAAATAGAGAATCCTTTCCCCGTTGCTTGTTTTTGTCAGGTTTATCAAAGATCAGATGGTTGTAGATGTGCAGTCTTAGTTTCTGAGTTCTCTAATCTGTTCCATTGGTCTGTTTTTACACCAGTCCCATGCTGTTTTGCTTACTGTAGTCCCCAGCTGTGTTCTTTTTACTTAGGATTGTCTTGGCTATATGGGCTCTTTTTTTGTTTCATAAGAATTTTAAAGTAGTTTTTTCTAATTCTGTGAAGAATGTCAATGGTAGGTTAATAGGAATAGTATTGAATCTATAAATTACTTTGGGCAGTGTGACCATTTTCATGATATTGATTCTTCCAATCCAGGAGCATGGAATGTTTTTCCATTTACTTGTGTTCTCTCTAATTTTCTTAAACAGTGGTTTGCAGTTCTCCTTGAAGAGGTCCTTCACTTCCTTTGTTAGTTGTGTTGCTAGGTATTTTATTCTCTGTGGCAGTTATGAATGGGAGTTCACTCATGATTTGGCTCTCTGCTTGCCTGTTGTTGGTGTATAGGAATGCTTGTGTGATTTTTTTGCACATCGATTTTGTGTTCTGAGACTTTGCTGAAGTTTCTTAGCTTAAGAAGCTTTTGGGCTGAGGCAATGGGGTTTTCTAGATACAGGATCATGTCATCTACAAACAGAGACAGTTTGGCTTCTTCCTCTCTTCCTCTTTTAATATCCTTTCTTTCTTTCTCTTGCCTGATTGCCCTAGCCAAAACTTTCAGTACTATGTTGAATAGCAGTGGTGAGAAGGGGCATCCTTGTTTTGTGCCCGTTTTCAAGGGGAATGCTTCCAGCTTTTGCCCATTCAGTATGATGTTGGCTGTAGGTTTATCATAAATGGCTCTTACTATAAATGTTTTTTCATGTACCCATATACCTCTTTTTGTTTGTTTTAGGGACTGGGTGTTGCTCTGTTGCCCAGGCTGGAGTGCAGTGGCACAGGCATGCTTGTTGCAGCCCTGAAATGCTGGACTCAGATGATCCTCCCAGCTTACTCCTGGGTTGCTGGGATTACTGGCACAGGCCACCACACCCAGCTGTTTTTTTATTTTTTTTGTAGAGATGTGTTCTTGCTGTGTTTCCCAGGCTGGTCTCAATCTCCTGGGCTCAAATGATCCTCCCACCTTTGCCTCCCAAATGCTGGGATTACAGGTGTGAGCCACTGTACCTGGCTACATCTTAATGACTCTAAAATATGGGTAAGGGATCAAAACAAGTTCATTCAAATCCTGATCAGTGAGTCTTTACAAATTTCTCTAAAACTTCCAAGCTAAATCCATGGTAGTACGTTACACGTGTCACTTGGCAAAGCAGTGACATATGTACCCTTGCATTTAATTCTAACCATAAACTGTGAAGAACAGAGTGCTGCTTTGGAGCCTTATACCCAGCCTTGTGTAGAAGAGATTCATATGTAGAAAGTAAACGAAGTCCCAAAGGTCACACAGTCAGTGAAAACCTGGAACTAAAATGCAGACCTGTTTCCTGTCTGCATTTGTTTCTTGAGACTTAGGGTTTTTTCCAGCAATTAATGCTCATTGTCAGGAGATGCATTCTTCCTCACTGTGGCATCAAAAAAAAAAAAAGGGTTGGACTTTTAAGAAGCTGGTGAAATTAGGGCCATTTGACAGATTTTATTAAACTTTGGTTTGATAACAAGCCTACTTCTGATACATGTGTGACTTATTTTGGTTGACCTCTTACTGTTCAGCAAATGCTTCTTCAATTTGAAGAATATATGCATATAACTGTTCACAAGTGGCCACAACCCAGGTCTGTAAGGATGGTTATTTAAGAAAATGCTTTTTTTGGCAAGAAGAAAAATTTTCTAACTTACTCCTACTTCCTGTTACTCAAATTCTTCAAAAGGATGTTGAAGTAGTTTTTGATTTATTATGTTACATTGTGATGGCACCTAAAAATTCCAAAGCTATTAGCACTGCATAAAATAATAATTCCTGTTTGCGATCTTAAAAAATGGTGAGAAAAACAAAATTTAGAAAGCTCAGTGGTGATACTTTAAAATTAGGGCTTAGGTTAAATATTTATTATTTTCTTGAACGTGGCAAAAACATCTTAAGAAAACACACAGCTAAGAAATATAGTGGCAACAATTCATTTAAACTAGGTTATTAACTAAGCTACCAAGACCTTTAAAAGGCAGTTAGTTACTACTCCTGAAAGGGTTCTAATATAAATCTTAAGAGGTAGGCATTATTTATGCAGTGGTACAAAAAAAATGTCATGCTCTATGTTGGGTTAGTATCTGTTCAGTTTTATTGTGGTTGATTATTCAATGAGTCTATAAGACTAAGCCTCAAAAAGTAGTTTATAGTTAGTGAAATATATAATCAAAGGGATCAAATCAGTTGAGCTCCTTTGGGACACTTAGAGAAAGAACTGTGTGATCAAGTGTGTATGCACCAAGAAGCAGGTCTCATTGTATGTAATTTCTGCTTACTGAAGAACTAGGAATGAAGCTGTCATTAGAAACAGTTATATTATTAATTAATAATTAGCAAAACATTAGTTTTCAGTACTTGAATTTTAAAAAGTGTAGTTGGGTGCTCATGCTGCAATCCGAGTCAAGTAAGTCAAGACATGTCTCTTTTGTGAGTTCCTTGTGATCATGATTGTTGACCCAAATTCATCTAGGAGTAAGTTTGACTTGAAAGTTCTCAGTGAATTGTGCTGAGCCTAAAAATTCTTTCCAAACTATAGCATCTGTTCTGTATTTACAAACTGAAATAACTACGGATGTCAAATGAAAGAAGATTCTATTTCCTTTAGAAAATCTTTTTTTTTTTTTTTTAGAAGTTTGCATCGAAAATCTTTTTAGAGGCCGGGTGCGGTGGCTCAAGCCTGTAAACCCAGCACTTTGGGAGGCCAAAGCAGGAGGATCACTTGAGGCCAGGAGCTCAAGACCATCCTGGGCAACAGAGCAAGACCCTGTCTCTGCAAAAAAATTTAACATAATTAGCTGGGTACAGTGGTGTCACCTGTAGTCCAAGCTACTGGGGAGGCTGAAGTGGGAGAATCACTTGAGCCCAGGAGTTCAAGGTTGCAGTGAGCTAAGATCACCCCACTGCACTCCAGTGTGGGTGCCAGTAAGACTTCTGTTTTTTTTTTTTTTAAACTTTATTTTTTTTTATTTTGATGTGGGTTAGCCAATGTGTAATTGTTGCCATTTCTTCTCCCTAGTGCCCTGCCAGACCGTTTTAGATTACTTGAAGACGGTTCTGCAGCACCACAACCAACTCCTGATACCACAGCCAGCCGACCAACCAACTGAGGTAGGTCTCTAGTAAAAAAATAAATGTTCCATTTGGAATTCCCTTAAAATGAAGCCTCTTGGTAACTTACCAGGTGTATACCAGAACAGATAGGCTAGCATAATAGTTTTTGACTAAGGTTTATGGGTCTATTACCTATAAGTATGTAATTTGTGGAGAAAGATCATGCATGTATTTAACTACAGAGATGCAGCTTTGTACTCTGAATAGGGAAAGACAGAAGTAATGGCAATTTAAATAGCATGGGCAATTTTTCCACCATTCTGTTTGCACAGAGATGCCTGAAATGAGAGACACCAACTTCTCATTCCCTTAGACAGCCTGGGTTCCACATGCCCCTCGCTCTGGGCCCCACACACACTGGGCAAGATTCTCCAGTATGTAGATAAGCATTCTCTAGATGTCAGGGCTCCTGGATAGGGGTTATTTTCTTCATCTGGACCTCACTATTGGTAGAAGAAATGATGTGTTTTAATAGTAGTAAACATGGTACATATTTATAAGACGTTCCAGGCTCAGTTTTGAATATATGACTTTCATACGAGACTTGAGAACCATGGACCATCCCCATGAGAATCCCATAGGAAAGCTCTCAGGTTTCCCCCAGTCTAAAAATAAGCCTACCTTGGATTCTGCCTCTCTTCCACCATCATCGCCCTCCTTTCTACTTCCAACTCCTTGCAGGCTCCCAAAGCATGCTGGGTCAACACCTTCATTCTGCACTATGGCGCATCTTGCTCCTTGAAGGTTGGGCCCAGGTTTCATCTCAAGGATCATAGAAGGCACTTGCTGAATGGTGACCTCATGTTCTAATGATCAAACATTTGAAAGGCTGGTCTGTATTCATTATCTTCTCTCTATTAGTTTCCATTTGCTCTTCCACCCTGTAACCTGGCTTCTCTTCCATCACTACCAGAGTTTTCTGCAAGAGGCCCCTGGAGACTCTCCCAGTTATCCGGTCCAGTGGCCCTTTTTCTACTCTGGTCACCCCAGGCCCTCACCTCTCCTCCTCTGCACTCTCTCTTGCCCATAGCCTTAGCGTCAGTACTTTGTCCTGGTTCCTTGCCCCTCTTCTGTGACGCTTTCATGAGTTTTTCCATCCGCTGTTCTCCAGAGTTGTGCTTTGTCTCTTTCTCTTACTCTCCACTGTCTTTTCTCATCAGTTATGTTTCTTTGCATTTGTTTTTACTTGGGACAGGGCCTCGCCTTCTTGCCCAGGCTGGCGTGCAGTGACGTGATCATGGCTCACTGCATCCTCGCCCTCCCAGGCTCAGGTGATCCTTCCATCTCATTACCCCAAGTAGCTGAGACTACAGGTGTACACCCACACACCCAGCTAACTTCTGTAGTTTTTGTTAGGCAGGGCCTCACTTTGTTGCCCAGGCTGGTCTTGAACTCTCCTGAGCTCAAATGATTCTCTGCCTCAGCCTCCAAAAGCAGTGTGATTATAGATGTGAGCCTCTGCCCAGTTATGTCTCTTAAAACATTCACTACCTGTGGGTTGACAAGTCCCACACGCATACCTAGAGCACCAGTCCCTGTGGCTCCGTTATAGACTACCATGTCGGCTGCCTGGCCCACAGTGGATTGCCACACACTGCTTCGCTTGCTCTAACCACACCTATTCTGAATACCCATCTGCAACTCTTCCTGTTTTCAGTAAAGGTCCTACCAACCCCTGGTAGAAATTTCCGGCACATCACTGACCCCCTCATTTCTTACATCCAATAATTCTATAGCGCATTGAATTGTCTCCCTTCTCCTGGGCTGACTCTGTCACCTGAACTATTGCAGCAGCTTCTTTCTTCTCCCTTCTCCACACTGGAAAGTTTTTTTTCTTTTTTCTCCTGAATTACAGATCCAAACTAAATGTTGTGTGCTTAAAATCCTTTGCTCCCTAGAATGAAGTCAAGATTTCCTAACTTGACATTACTGTCATACAAACTGCACAGCTGAAAAGCCCACTTACTCCAGGAAGCTCTCCCTGATTGCCACACCCCACTTTGTGCCTGTGTAGCACACTTTTCATAAGTCTAGTTCAGAACTAGTTACCTTGCTTCATAGTAAATGTACACCTATGTCTTCCATTTGACGATGACTCTTAAGGAACCTATTAATTACGGGTGATTCATCTTGGGTTTTTTCAGTGACTCAACAATAGGTCAATGTTTAATAACCTGTGGATGGCTAATTGAAGAAAATATACAACCAGAATTCTACAAAAATAAAAGGATAGGGGAAAATCTACATTTCCTCTGGATAGGACTATTTAAACTTTTATGACTCATCATCATTATGACTGTGCTGTTCTTATTGTCATTTCAGGCATATGAGTATTTTCTCATTTTTATTATTTATCACATTTTACTTCTATTAACTATGCTAAAACAGGTTTATAAATCTCGTCTGTAACCCAGAGAGCATTCTGAATTGTGTTTGGGGCTATAAATTACTTTTTCTTTCCCTTGATGAAAATTACCTCCAATTGGGATTCCTACATTTTATGAGACCAACATTTTATGTAGATCTGCTACATTCAGTGGATTTTTTTCAAGGGTTTTGAGAAAGCTCCTTTCCTGGATTGTCCAAGTCACCAGTCCCTCCCATCTTGAAATAGACTGATTTCAGGGGCACAGCAAAGCATCGTGCTTGGGGTGAACCCTGAACTCAGGAATGGCATTCCCAGACCCCTCTTTGAGTTGTGAAACCTTGGAAAGGGATTCGACGTCCTTCTTGGTAAAATAGAGCAGTTATCCTGGCTTCACAATTGTGCTCACTCCTGAGCAGAACAGCTTTTAAAAATTATATAGTGTTAAATAAACAGTTTAAAAAACAGCTATACAGTTTTTTCTAAGGCTGACAAGAGTATTTACAGGGACCATCACTAAGAGGATTGTGGCAGCCTCGTTTTTTAAGTTAAGGATGGTGGAAGTCTCATTTTTAGTGGCTTCTCATCTTTGTTGGTCTCCTTAAAGTTCTTTAACTTTGCAAATTTCTGTTCAGTCGTTAAGAAAAAGTAAGAATTCTTCATTGTAGCCACCGTTATTGGGTGTCTGCTGCGTGCCAGCCAGCCACAGAGGCCTGTGCTCTACTGCATCAGCCATTCAACAAATGTTTACTGCGCCTGCATTGTGTCAGGTGTCAGGTGCTGTACTCCATCCTGAGAGTCTGGCATTAAATAAACAGGTAACAGTCTCAACCTTCATAAGTGTATCTTCTGGTGGGAGAGACGGCAGGACTCCACCACAAATCACCAAGCTGGCATTATCATCTCTATTTTAACAGAAAAGAGTAAAGTTTAGAAAAGTCACCTGCCTCAGGCTGAACCCAGAGCCCAGCTGTGGAATAGACCTAGTACCTCCACCTGTGAGGAGAAAGGAGACAAGCGTGCCAAGTGCTTGGGGCAGGTGCCTTGGGCTGTCATCAATTGCTCAGTAAATGGTGACAGGTATTAAGCTTCCTCAGCAAAAGTACCGGTGACACAGAGAGTAGTTTTGAGAGGGCCAGCCGCTGGATTTTGGCCAGCCGCTGGATTTTACCCACCCCTAGCCCACCCAGCTGCCTGGGGGGCCAAGGTGTCAACCAGTCAGAGTCTTTAGGCGCCCTTTCCTCCAGTGCTTGGAAGCAATGCAATTATTTTCCCTGCTGCTGCTTTCCTCCTTCCGGCCATAGCCTCTGTTCCTAATTTTTGTGAAAGAGGCCACGTAGGGATCATCTTGCCGCCTCAGTCTTCTGTACGTAGCCTGGCCGTTGAATTGGTTGCCTGGCCTTTTCGATCGACAGCTTTCACTCCTACCTCTCTCTGTCCTGCACAAACCTGATTCAGGCCTCCATCTCTCACCTCCTGCCATGAAACAGCACCTGGAGCTGGAGGACTTTCAGGGAGCTCTGGGCTCTTGCTCATCTTTTGATTGTCTCTTGTATTATGGGGTCCTCCACTGTACCCAGCCAAGGCTTGGCTCACGCTCCCAAATAGTCACATCTTGCACTCATGATAATTGAGTTTCTTTCAGTTTTACAGGTGGGGAAACTTTGGTCCAACAACTTGACGTAACTTGCTCAAGTTAGTCTAGTAAGACATGGAACCAAGACTCAATTCAAACCCAGCCTGACTGTGAATTCAGAGCACAAACTAGGTGCCTCACCTGTCCTCCTTAGGAAAGGAAACTACATCGCGCTGTTGCTAGTTGAGGAAAGTGTGAGTGCTGCTGTGATGAGTCTCCATGTGCAGAACTTGGTGCCAGTTTCCAACCGCATCAGGCTGCCTCCTTCTTGTTGGCTCCTATGCCATTTCCCCTTCTCAGCGTTTAACTAAACAGAGCACTTTTTGAAATAAAACCCTAGCAGGTCCAAATGGTTCCACCTTTATAACCTGTAGTAAATTTGCTGAGTTGTAAAATGAATGAGTTTTCCCTTTTTTGTTTTGTACACCTTAATTACTAGGGAGGGAGTACATTAAAGCTAAGATCATGGGTTAATTAATTTGTCCTGGACTGTAGAATTTTATGGACAACCAGAACTAAAGCAATGGTTATGTAGGTGCAATTGATTAAACATGGCTTATAAATGTTACAGAAATTCCCGTAATTAATCCCACTGCAGCTATTTAGCCTGGGAATTTTATAGCAGACATAAATTATAAAGGTGAAAAGTAAGAAAAATTTTGAGTTGACATAGTGGCATTTGCAGAAGGTATCATTTGAGGAAACCTGTTTTGCATGATTATTAGTGATTTTTTTTTTCAGTTTCCACAATTCTCCCTTTTTAAAATTTGCTTTTTAATGTCGTTTCCATTGTAATGCAGTGACTACCAGATGTTGGATGCGTTAAACACAAGTAATGCCTTATTAAAATAGACCACCAGCAGCATTTTTAAAAGTACTTAAAAGTAACCAAAGAAAGAAGAGACCTGTTTGATCATACTCTTCAAAGTCATTTTTGCATATTTTAATGGATGGAAAAGGAAAGTTACAGGTGATGTTTAAATAGTGTTCCCTGTCATTGGATCTTGACACATTTTAACCTACCTGTTAAAATGTAAGTTATAAATAGCTCCCCTTTCAAAGGTGTTCATTATACCTCATTGGCTCTTGTTATAGAAAATGCAAATGTAATTTGAAAAGTGCCCCTTCTGAGTCTGAGCAATTACTTGCACACTTCAATACCTAGTTCATTGTCAGCATAGCCACTTGGTTAAAAAGCATGTTTGCCTTTGAAATGGAGATCACTTTGACTTCTGGCTGGCTGGCTCCGTGGGTAATGAGAAAATATTTCGCTTTTCCAGGGAAGCAAGCAGCTGTTGAACAACTATCCTGTCTACATAACGAGCAAACAGTGGGACGAGGCTGTAAATTCTTCAAAGAAAGATGGGAGACGGCTCCTTCGATACCTCATCAGATTTGTTTTCACAACCGATGAGCTTAAGTACTCATGCGGCCTTGGGAAAAGGAAAAGGTCAGTGCAGTCAGGAGAGACAGGTCCCGAAAGACGCCCTCTGGATCCAGTTAAAGTAACATGCCTCCGAGGTACTGCATCTTCCGCTCCGTGTCACCATCTGTGATCTCATTTCACCGCATTGGCTGTGGCTCTCCCTGTACAAGTGTTCAGCCTTATTGTATTTTGATTTCTTTCTGCTGAGAACGTCTAGGCTTCATGTGGCCCATCTACTCGGTATTGAGAAGCTCTTTTAAAAATCTCCGTTTCCCTTAGCATTTTTCTCACTTAGTGGTACATAAGCATCACATAGCACCTCATGTTTCACACTTCCAATTCAGATTTTCTTTGCTGCCGGAGAAGGCCACCTCCAGCAAAACTGGAGCATAGGGGAACGCACAGAGGAAGGGAAGGCGTGGAAATTTTTTTTTTTTTTTTTTAGACAGAGTTTCGCTCTTGTTACCCAGGCTGGAGTGCAATGGCGCAATCTCGGCTCACCGCAACCTCCGCCTCCTGGGTTCAGGCAATTCTCCTGCCTCAGCCTCCTAAGTAGCTGGGATTACAGGCACACACCACCATGCCCAGCTAATTTTTTGTATTTTTAGTAGAGACGGGGTTTCACCATGTTGACCAGGATGGTCTCGATCTCTCGACCTCGTGATCCACCCGCCTCGGCCTCCCAAAGTGCTGGGATTACAGGCTTGAGCCACTGCGCCCGGCGGAAATTTTTTTTAATGAGTAAAATGTTACCTCATTTCCAGTACTAGTTTGTGTCACCTTCTAGTACCTTCTCAAGAATACTTGGCCAAACCCCTTAAATTTGTTTAGGATTAATTCTCCTTAATGCTAAAATATACCTTGCGCAGTAAAATGTTTTTCTTTTGGTTAAAAAAAAAGTTTCTATTAAATGTACTGCATAGATAACACGACTTAAGCAGTATTAATAGCGATTACTTTGCAGTTAATCTGCACTATTGTAGGCCAGGCAGAGGGGTGGGGAGGAGGAATCAGGAGGTACCCAGTTGATTCAACAAGTGCAAATAAACACAGACCTAGACAAATAGAAGTGTTATAATGCCAAGAAAACATTCACACCTGAAAAATCCATATCAGAAAGCTCAGTATCAACCTACACAGTTCAATGGCAGTTTTATTGGCTGGAAAGACTTAATATTGATTTACTCTGAATAGGGATAAAAATTTTTCCTGGTGAAGAAATTACAGTTTGAAAAAAAGCCACATTATCACTGCTAAGGCCCTGGTTATTGCAAAGAATACTTATGTACTCCCTCCTGAGATGCCCACAGCAGTTCTGGACATCATGTGCCTAGGGTGCATATGTAGTACTTGTTAACAGCTGATATTCCCTAGGCCTTCACCTAGAGATTCTGATCCAGAAGGGATGGGGCAGGCATGTGTGGTTCCTAGATTGAGACAACCTTATAGTCCTGTGTGCATGACCCACAATTCAGGAAAATGCCTGTATTTATTAGACACAAGTGCTCCAGAGCACCTGCTATTAGCTGGTCTGAATATTCCACTTACTCAGAGTGACTAGGTGGTAGAAATTTGCAGGGTCTGTCCTACTAAACTCACCATCGTTATCTGTATTTCTGGACATCCTAAGAGATGATGGAATTAACTCACACAGAGGCAGTGTTGAGCTTGGGGGCACTGGCTGTGTGTACTCAAGGGAGTTGCATTTAGGCTTATTTATAGGAGTCAAATAAGGGGTCTCATCACTGTATTGTTTTTCCAGAAATTCTTATTCAACATTTTACATTTCTATAGCAAGTCAGTAGAACTGAGGCTTTAAAATATATCCCAGAAAACTAGTGCTGCTGCCCTGGAAATGCCGAAGGAGCCACTGTCACACTGATGCCTGATGCAGCCCAGGCTGCCTAACCAGACACTGCCATCTCCAGCAATTTTTCACTTAAGGCCACAATGCGTGGACCTCCATCCAGCCCTTGGGTGGAGAATACATAGGCAAGATATGTGATTGTCTGTGTTGGAGGCAGCTAAAGCATTTCGCTCTTTCAGGCATTTTAATTGCTTTTTGGTGAAATTAAATATTTAGAGGAGACAACATATAAAAAATACTTGCCAGCCCATGTATAGAAATTACATTTTGAGAAATAAGTATAGCTAATCATGCAACATTCCAAGAACATGGGTACGTTTTCTGAACTAACACTCAGGCGCTTCCTCAGTCACTAAGACTGTTACTTTATTGTACTCCATCTTCAAATTAGTAGCTAGATAAAGGATACCATGCTAATGATATTTGCTGTGCTTCTGGAGATAGTAACATTCGCAAAACGTGAGCAGGTAACAACTTAGGTTTTGAAATCTCCTTGACTTTTACCAGACAGGGTGCATTCCGTGCCTTACAAATTAAATTTACCTTTCATTTCAACAGCAAATGTTCCTTGGAGGGATTACCCTCTCACTTAGGCAATTTTTTTTTAACTTTTGCACATGAGAAGAAAATTTTTGTATGGAATAAATTGGGTCTAATGAGTGACATCATCATGGCATTGCATTGGATTTCCCATAAAGCTTTTCTGATAGAGCTTCTGTTAAAGTTTAAGCAGCCTGCCCTGTCATCTTCTGCAAAAACCAGCTGTTGTTTTTCTCTCTCTCTCTTTTTTTGATGTTGTGTATATTCCTGCAGAATTCATTAGGATGCATTGTACCTCCAACCCCGATTGGTGGATGCCCTCGGAGGAGCAGATAAACAAAGTGTTCAGCGATGCTGTAGGTCACGCCCGGCAGGGGCGGGCAGTGGGGACTTTCCTGCACAACGGTGGCTCGTTTTATGAAGGGATCGATCACCAGGCTTCGCAGGATGAAGTCTTCAATAAAAGTTCCCAGGATGGATCTGGGGATTAGTGGACAGAATCTTCCTGTTGTAGCAGCCGGTCCTCTCAAGAGTTCCAATTGTGAATGTCCTGTTCCTGTCACCTGAGAGTCCAAAGCATGTCATTCTGTCATACTCTACACATTGTCAGCTGCCACAGTACCCCAATAGAAATCCATTTTAGGGTTGTTTGGGAAGTTATGGCGCCTACAACATACTTTTGGAATACTATATTATAAAAAAAAAATCTTATGCTAAAAGAGTCAAATTTTCAAGTCATTTTAGAGTCTACTTTTAATTTGTAGTGAGTTCCTGAGGGCCAAGAAAATATTTAAATTTAAAATACCTTAGGACACTCGAGTTAACCAAATTGCTAATTTAATGTATAAAAACAGCTAAACACTGGTACTTTATAAAAATGAAACAGCATTTTGAAACAAATGTTACAGATCTATATAAATATTCAATATACAGAATAAACCCTAGTTATTTGCAAAAAAAAAAAAAATTAAAAAATACATTTGATTTTAAATGATTACTAGCTAGATGGTGAGGGTGAAAAAATAGGTGAGCGCCTAGTTACCTTTCTCAGACCTTCAAACTCTGCTACCTGGGCAGAGACAGTCCCCCAGGAAGGCTGGGGTAGTGTTTCTGCCTATGGGAGAAGATGGAGACATGGAGTTATGTTAAGGGACAAGGAACAAACATTCTCTTAATTCGAATAAGTTGTCTTTGTTTTCCAAAGACTTGACTTCATATTTCTCGGCAAAGACATAGGATAGATGACATCATATACTATTTCGACCTTAATAGTGTCTGTTACTAAAAGGAAGCCAGAGAACAGAGGCAGCATCTACAGACAGTGATTAATTACAGGTCAGCTATTTTTCTGTTATTTAAAAAAATCCACTGTGTTGATCAAGAAGGCACTATTTGATCTCCGGAGTTTACAAACAGTAGTCATTTTTCATTGTTAGTTAAGAAACATCCAAAGATCCAAAACCATTTTCAAATGCTGTTTTTAGGTTAATAAATTCATAGTTTCCATAGCCTTAAATCAGGCTTTATTGACACAGTACCAAAGTGATGAGTAGAACAATGAGAATTTCAATCAATTCATTGTTTGGTGCTCTGAAGACCAAGCAGGCGGTGTGACTAATGGTATTCCCTGAATTGGCTAGGTGCTCTGGCATTGTACACACACAGCTTCAAGGCCATTCTGACAACTATGCAATGGGCTTGTTAGTAATTAGTCTGACATTTGAGGGTCTTTCTCTGCTGATTTGATCTTTAGCATTTGTATGAAACTTGTTTCCCATTGTCATTGAAGAAAATGTTTGAGCCCCACTGTGCCTCCTTCCCCCAGTGTGCCCCTTAGCTCTTCCTAAGTTAGCACTGTGCCTCTCCCACTCACCATTCCCTGCTTAATTTGTTGAACTCCATATGTGAAATTAGTGGTACCTTTGGAAACTTTCCTTATTGGCAAATGCTATAGAGGTGCTAGAATCATCATTTCTGAGGGCTTCCTGTTTGAAGTCAGGAGAGGCTTTCCTTACCAAACTAGTCCAGGTTACTGCATTCGTTGTAGAGCAAAGGACTAAATGGACACCGTTTATTGAAGGCTACTAGTCATCTACAGACATGACCAAGGGTTTTGAAAATTGGAGATTGAAGTTTAAGAGCACCCATTGATAAAGGGTTTTTTGGCTATTTTTGTCAACATAAACTCGTAAATTATCCTTTAGATTTGATTATTAGTTTGCATTCACTATATACAAAGTCCTAGAAGCAGATCTTTCTGTAGCTTTTGTTTATCAGCTTTTTTTGTATTACTCCCTTTCATCCATTGAAAAGTTCAATGTTTATAGAGATGGTCATCTGTCAGATCTGCTCAGTGATGTAGGGGGAATTAATACTTCAATCTTATTTTGAGAAAATTAACTAAAATTTGTCAAATCTATTCAATGGTAGAGGGAAAACTAATATTAACAAATCTATTTTGAGCGAATTAGCTAAAATTTAAAAGTAGAAGAAATGATATGGGCAAATGCCATGTTCTCATGGCAACCATGAGACCAGTATCTTTGGCTATCCAAGGAAGAAAGATACTTCTTAAAGCATTTTTAGAGGTCCAAGAAGTTGGTGTCTTTCTGATGAGATTCTTTGACAACATGACATCTTTGCTAGAAGAAAAACCCCGCCATAGCCTCTGTTTCTCCATTTGACCTTTTCTTAATTTTGCCTTGGCCTTAAGTTGTCCATACTGCTGAGTACATTGTTCTGTTTTTCTATAGCAACAATATTTGATCACTCCTTTTAAGAAAAATACACTAGCCCTTGTTTTCTTGCAAGCCTGAGGGTCCTGAACATTTCTTCATATCTAAGCGACATCTTGGAGCCCTGTCATGCTAGTCTTCGCTGAGGCCAGTGAGAGCACTTGCTGCACTCCCATGGCCGTACATGACGACACACCTGCACCACTGCTGTGCCAGGCTTGTACACCACCTTTGTTCCCAAAGTTACACATGGTCTCTTCCTCCCTCATACCCACTCTAGGTGAGTTATTTCTCTGTCAGCTGTTTCTCCATCAGCAAATTCTGAATGTCGAGACTGATGGTTGAGCATCTCTTTTGCACAAGGCTGACAGACTCCATACTCAGCATCACACAGCCAGTCCTAACTCCTCTCCCTGGTCTAGGACCTGCGACTTTTGCCTCCTGGTGAGATGGTCCATTATACTTCCACTGTTGTATAACTGCTGGGTTCCTTTAGCCAAACCTAGCATCTGATAAAGGCACTAGCAGCCACTAGTCTATGATACAGCATCAGTGTAGACACTGCTGGCTCCTCTCCTTAGGACACATCTACACTGCCACGTGAGCTTCACCTTTAAGGCTGATATGTACCTGAGTTCGTGGTGGTTGTCTGCATGGTTTCCTGGTATTTAAATCAGGACCTACAAAGGATGTTCATTTATTTGTGGTTAAGGCTCTCTGGGCCTCTATGTAGCCAGGGTAACAGCTCACCACTAAGATCGGATGCTGTCGTTGCTCTGTGAGCCTTTCAGTTGGAATCCTTGGAGACGTGAAGGTGTTGCTTATCATTTTGATTTGATTTTCTACATCTTTATCTGGCAGATGGACAGATTGCTCTACAAGAAACGTAGTCGTGTCAGCTTTTAGAGTCCTCCTTGAGTCATGTTAGCACTGGTGTAAAACAGATGGAGTTAAAACAGCTCAGGATGCAGCTATGCCTGCACTTCATTGGTTAGAGGAGGTGGTCACGGGGCTGGCCTGAGAGCAAAGACTAAATGTGGCTTTTTTGTCAATGACTAGGTGTGATCCATAAGCCCAGCTATCAGAAGAGAGCCACACTTACCAAAAGTGAAAGTGTTTTCCAAATTAAAATCCTGTCAAAAAGATCATGCTGGCTTTTTACAGTGAGCTGAAGCCCCAAGCTCAGTTCCAGCCAGGCTCAGGATGACCCTGGAATGGTCTGAACTGGATAACGTAGGCCAGGAGCCTGTGGAGGGGCCAGTGTTTTGCAAACAGATACTAAAGTCACGTTTCTCACGGACTCTCTTGACAGTGCTTCGTTCAAAATCTTAAGGTTTAACCTTAGTGTTAAATGCTTTCAAGAAAATTTGTAACCATTTAAATTTTACAAGTACTTTCTTGTCTTACCTGGGCATTTTACAACTACCTTCCCTATTGACTTGAAAATATTTCCTCCAGCCCCTGAACCCGGGCATCACTTTTTTGGTTTTCCTCATTCCATCACAGCATTTAGGTGACTGTTACCATTTATGTTTCATTAAGCTTCACTAGGAATATAAGGATAATATTAGAGCGTTTGCTGAAAATTGCTGCCATCTCCTTTGGTAGGGGAATTGAGATGTAGCTGCATCACAGCTATAGAGTTAGTAGGTGGCTGTGTGTTCTGCGTTGTTTCTTACCTTTCATCAGTGACAGACACATTGACATAAGAGATTCCTTCATCAGGATTATAAGGAGATATAAATGATTACCGTTTATTATTTGATCCAACTACTCCATGTGGCATCAACTAGAGGTAACTGATATTGATAGGATTTTTTAAAGTCCAGTAACTGTTCTTGCAATATCAGATATTTTACCCTAAAATTAGACAGTAATCCAGACTTCGAATCTATAGGTTTATGATTCCTACATTGCCCTGCCACTGTCAGTGGCTTGTTGCCTCCCTTCTGTTGCTCTCAGAAAGTGGATGGAGCATTAGATAAAGATGAAACGTGCACTATGTTCGGAAAAGCTAACATTCATTGCCCTCACTTATATTTCGTTCCTCAGTATGTGCTCTAGAACCTGAACCTAATACCCATTGACTACCTCCTGAGTTTTTTAGATTTCAGTTATCTTTAAAAATCTCATTGATGGATAATAGCTTCAATTTTAGAGAAGATTTAAATGTCTTAACTTTCCTCATTCAGTGCTATGTCATTTCACAGTACAGATCTGCGTTAATTTTTGACAGCTCATATATACAGATTTTTAGAAATGTAATAGAAAATGATTTCGCACATATGGTGCAAGTCTTGCTGGTGTATGTTTAATGTGGCAACACGTGCCAAAACTGTTTGGCAAAACATGTCAAATGGAGTGCTTGAGTCAGAACTCTAATGTAAATGTGTCTAAACAGCAGTGTGTATCATTATGTTGTATTTTTGTAAACATAGTGATGGCTTCTTTCAGTCATGCAAGTACTGGATAAAAATAACTGCTTCACTTGGAATAATGTAGGAAAATATCACCCAGCGGATACTCCTCTGCAAAGTTACATTGTCAGCCAGTGGCATTGGTTCTTTCATTTATGTTAGGTTTTTTTTTTTAGAGGAGAGTGAAGAATTGACATCAGACAATATGGAGAGCCAAAATAATAACCCATCAATATTTGCCTTCTAAATGTGAAATGTAACATTTTAACTGATCTGTGTACACATTAGAGACCACTTTCACCCTCCACAGTATATTCAGTTGCAGGTAACACTATGCGA